TCTGACCCTCCCCCGTTCATGCTCTGTCTCTCTCTGTCTCAAAAATAAATAAAACGTTGGGCGCCTGGGTGGCGCAGTCGGTTAAGCGTCCGACTTCAGCCAGGTCACGATCTCACGGTCCGTGAGTTCGAGCCCCGCGTCAGGCTCTGGGCTGATGGCTCGGAGCCTGGAGCCTGTTTCCGATTCTGTGTCTCCCTCTCTCTCTGCCCCTCCCCCGTTCATGCTCTGTCTCTGTCTGTCCCATAAATAAATAAAAAAAACGTTGAAAAAAAAATTAAAAATAAATAAATAAATAAATAAATAAATAAAACGTTAAAAAAAAAACAAAAACAAAACAAAATGGCGCTTGCTACAAGCAGGAGCCAACTGGGTTCCTTCACCTAGAAGGTCCCTGTCCTCACAAGGCAGCCTCCATGCCTGGGGCTGATATGAAATGCTAATTCCTTGCCTTTAAACAGTTTTTCTTTGGAAGAGTTTCACCGAGGCCAGCCTCTCTTGCCCCTTCCATTCCCCCTCCTGAGGGGGTTAGTCCCTCGAGGAGCCACAGTTAAGTCTTAACTCTAGGTGCCCTGAGGCTCCAGCCCTGTATTTCAGCAAGGAGCAGATTACAATCTTGTCTTTATCAAGGATCCAAAGCCTTTTTTAAAGAACATGGATCCATCCATAGCAGAACGTTTCACAGCCCCCTCTTCTTCCCTGTCAGAAGAGGTGTGCATTCACTGAGAAATGAATGCTTTAAAATAGTGATGCGTTTAATTCATCCAAAGAGTAACTGCTAGATTTGAAAAGTAGTAGCCCACAGGAACACAAGACACGGTGCTGATTCAGTCGCTACTCGATGCTTGGTGTACAAAAAGTCAGCCAGACACCCATAAAAGCGCAGTGTCTCCTTTCCCATCCACCTGTGGCTCACAGGTACGGCTAGTCCTTGGTTTATACCCCTCACTTAGCTTTTCACAGATACACGTCTTATCTTCCCAAACAGGTTATAGGTGACTTACGTGGCCCCAGCCCTGGGTACTCGAACAGTCTTGGGCGTGACTAAGGAGCATGAACTGTCACTGTAAATTCCAACCCAACTGTCCCGGGCTGGCTAACAGACTCTGGTAGCCCGGAGGCCCCCAGTGGCCCACCTCGTCTCCACCCAAACAAGGAAGGCCAGCGGATACGGTCTCCGCAGGAAAACGTGCCTGTATACATAATGCCGACCTTCTGAAGCAGGGCTCTCAGGAGGAGCAGACGCTAAGCCAGTCCCCTGGCCCTCCACCCCAGGACTACCGGCCCCCGTTACCTGTTCCAGGCCGAGCTGGAGCTCAGCTGCAGGGCCTGCCGCGTGGCTTGGAAGCGGGGCAGATCGCTGAGCACCGGGGAGCTCATGAAGCGTGGCCGGGGCCTGCGGAAGGAGCCCATCTCGTGGAACGCAGTGGGCACACTGGGCGCGAAGCCACGGGTCATAAGTCCGGAGGAGGGGATGGCTTCTCCTCTGCACCACAAGGTTCCAACAGCCCACGGGCAGGGGCTTCTTCCGGGGCTGCCTTCCGGCCCTCAGGCTTTCTTAAAACCACAAACTTAGCCCACACCTGAAAAGAGAGGGAAGCTTTTATTGAAAACTCCCGCGTCGGGCAGAACACTTCTTAGACGAGGTTGGCTGGGATTTTCCGGCCACGCTATGTTAAAAACAACTCCAGTGTCCTGAAATAACATCTATACCCTACACGCTCCCACTCATGCATTTATACGGGGCTCCGTCTGGTTACCCCAAAGTGGGAAGGCAGCAACAATGAGAACAGGTTGAGTCAATCCTACAGAAAAGTGATTTCTAAGTTGTGCTTGAATGTGGTTCTAAATGCCTACAAATGCCAAAGCATGGGCACTGGCTGGGTTTCTGTAGACCCTGCAACATTGCGCATTAAAGAGACGGCTTTTTCAAAAATGGCTGGGGGCGCCTGGGTGGCTCAGTCGGTTGAGCATCCGACTTTGGCTCAGGTCATGATCTTGTGGTTTGTGAGTCTGAGCCCCGCGTCAGGCTCTGTGCTGACAGCTTGCCCAGAGCCTGGAGCCTGCTCCGGATTCTGTCTCCCTTTCTCTCTGCGCCTGCCCCACTCACACTCTGTCTCTGTCTCTCTCAAAAATAAATAAACATAAAAAAAAAAAGTGCCTCAAGGAGAACACAAAAACTCCTTCTCTTGGCACTAAAGACCTTCCATGATATGCCCTTGGCATGCCAGCCCATGTGTATTGCTCAGTATTTTCCAAAGTATCAATGCCTCCTCACTCAGGCACATCTCACCATCCTTTACCTGCCATTCATTCATTCATTCTGTAAGAGCATATTTACTGAGTGTTCATTATTTATTAACCACTGGGAGCTGTAAAGCATCCAAAGATTTCTAAGACGTGATCCCTGCCCTCAAGAGGCTCAAGGTCTATTGAGAAAACCGCTGTGTATTCACACACACAATCAATATTTATTTTCTTTCCTGATTTTATTTTTTAATAACTTTTAATTCTAGTTAATTAACTTATAGCATTGTATTGGATTCAGGTGTACAACACAGTGATTTAATATTTCCATACAACACCCGGTACTCATCATGGGAAGTGTATACTTTTTTTTAAAATTTGTTTATCTTGGAGGGGGGAGGGGCAGAGAGAGAATTCCAAGCAGGCTCTGTACCATCAGCGAGGAGCCCGATGTGGGGCTCGAACTCACATCATGACCTGAGTGGAAATCAAGAGTAGGACGATCCACTGACTGAGCTACACAGGCACCCCAGTAAGTGTACTCTTAATCCCCAACACCTACTTCACCCACCTCCCGTCTAGTAACCATCAGTTTGTTCTCTGTAGTGAAGGGTCTGTTTCTTGATTTGCTTCCCTCTTTTTTTTTCCTTTGCTCGTTTGTTTTCTTAAATTCCATATAGGTGAAATCATACGGTATTTGTCCTTCTCTGACTTACTTCACTTAGCATGATACTCTCTAGCTCCATCCATGTCATTGCAAATGGCAAGATCTTGTCCTTTTTATGGCTGAATAATAGTTCATTGTATATATGTATACACCATATCTGCCTTATCCATTCATCAGTCGACGGACACTTGGGGTGTTTCCATAGTTTGGCTATTGTGAATAATGCTGCTATCAACATACGGGTGCATGTATCCCTTCGACTTAGTGTTTTTGTATTTCTTGTGTAATTACCTGGTAGTGCAACTGCTGGATTGTAGGGCAGTTCGATTTTTAAGCAATCAATATTTATTGACCACACCCTATGCAACAGCCACTCACTTACGTATCCGGGATATAATGGTGGCTCTGGACAACGTGGTGGCTGCCCTGTGGAGCTTACAAACCGGTAGGCATGGTTCCAGCCTATGCTTCCTCCCTCTCCCCACCTTCTGACTATATTTACTGCTTCCCTTCCCCAGAATTCCTTTCCTTTTCCTTCCCCTATGCTTATCTAAATCTACCCTACCTTGCAGAACTAGGTTCAAGGATACTGTCCCCTGAGCAGTTCCTAGGACTTAATGACTTTGTGGCTAATGGCGATGGCTTTGGAGTGAACCTGGGTTCGGGTCTTAACGGGGCCCCTCCCCAGCTGTGTGACCTGGGCACACTGAGTCCAAGAGTCCACAGCTGTTAGCAGTGCCAACTGCACAGGACCGATGAGAGACGACATGAGATGGTGTGATGTGTGCCCAGCAGAATGGCAGACCCGAGACCCTCGAGCGTGGTCCTGTTTCTGCTGGAGCCCAAAGCTTGCTTTCCTCAGAGCCTCTGTTCCTTTCATTTCAGTCTCTGATTCTCCAGTGAACCTAAAGTCTAAATCACTGAGTTAAAATGAGTTTGGGAGCCGGTCGGAGTAAAGGGCAGAGGAAATGGCACCAAGGTTAGAGTCACTTTTTTCTCGAGGGGTTAGGGTTGAGCCCGGACGTATTCTCAAGGCCACCTCTCCCACCAGCTAATGCTGCTGTTTCCCACGAACCAGTGCTGGAAGAAAAAGACGGATCCCAGCCATACATGTCAGTCTCCAGGCGGAGAGGGGAGTACATTCTGCAATCCCAGCTACAGCATCTGAAGAAGCAGGAACCAAGGGGCCGCCCCCAGTTAAACACGCTGCTCCGGTCAGCAGAGGACTGAGGCCTGGGGACGGGCACCCAGGCAATCCATCAAGAAGGCGTGGGAGGTGCCAGATGCTGTCTGCAGACAGCGGGCACGCTGGCAATGAACTGGCAAGACCAAGAGCCAAAAAAGGAATGGCGTGGACTACCTCTTGGAAAAAAATTTTTTAAACGAAAGCAGGCTCATGTACCATTTCCTTTTCGAGTGATCTGCCCCTCCACCTGCTTCTTAGGGTGAACCAACAGTGACAAATTTATCGGTAAGTACCACAGAAGTCAAAACAGGCCTGCTCCATTTCAGAGAGTCTCAATGGCTACGCAAGAGCCACTAGAATTTGGAAAGATCTATGCAAATCAGTGAATGAGGCAAAGAAGAAATAAAACCATGGGGCCCCTTCAGAGTCCTTACCCCGGATGGCTTTGGGATTTAACTTGCCTGGTAAAGGTCGTACTATTAAAAGAGGACCCATTTTGCTGCCCTTCTTTAAATGGGCCTGCTAAGTGCAATACATCTGCGTAATTACAGGATATTAACTCCATTTACGAGGACCTTAGACTCAAGGTGAAGGAGCCGCCTCCCACTCAGAGGCACTCGTGCAGGGAAGTGGAAAGGCGAGCTGAATGGATCATCCAGGTGTTTACTTCCCGGCTTCCCGCTGCAACAGCCACTTCTCCAGGAGGCTGTGCGACACTGAGGACCATGGGGCCGGCTCCCATCCCCCTCTGCTGCTCAGCCACCAGCCCCCAGGCTCCCCACTGCAAGCCGGGCTGCGTATCCAGCAAGGCACACAGACGGGCAGCCCCACTGGCCTGCGTCCCCTTTTAAATAAGGATAATTTTCAGCAAAAGAACAACGAGCGTGGCTCCCATGACCTTGTCCCTGGGTGTAGAGTCACACACGACAAGCAGGTGCCTCTGACTCATTTCTCTCTCACCCATACCATCTGCCACCCTCAGACCCTGACTGGCTGAAGACCATCGGAAGTCGCCTTTGTTTCCACCATTCCTGCTTCCGGACAGAGCCACGAGGCCCCCCCAGGGCCCTGCCAAGAGGGGCTGCCAGCAATGCTGGTGGGATGACAGGAGTGGCCTCAAGGTCAAAGCCGGTGCGCCCTGGATCCACCGGCTATCACGCTGGCCCCTCAGGCACAGGCATGTCCTGACCCAAATAGGACAAGTCAGAAAATGACAAGACGGGCGGGGCCCCCGTTTACAGACGACAAAAGTGAAGCCCAGAGGAGCTTGGCCAGTGTCTCTGAGGTCGGAGAGCCAGCACTGGCCAGAACTCAGGTTCCCTGACTCCCGATCTAGAAAGTTCCCCAGGCCCCACCTGGGCCATTCTGCAAACTCCTCAAAGAGAGGCCCCAGCGCTTACTCGTCTCTATCCCCAGGCCTAAGCTCACTGCTTAAGATACAGACCAAGGAAGGACGGGAACGAATAAGGAATCAACTGCCTGCCTGTCGTGGTGCCAGGTACTGTCACAGCCAGTGACTGCCTCAGGGATGTGTGAGGATAAAACGAGTACCTATTTGTAAAGCACTTAGATAGGACGGTGCACGGCAAATAGCAAGTGCTAGGTAAGTGCTTGTGAAATAAATTAAATACTTTGTTATTTCTAAATCTCCAAGCAATGACAGCAGTTGAAATACAAGAACACGTCCCCCCTGCTTCTGGCGACCTCAGCAACATCTGGAAAACACTCCGCTCGGGAGGATGCGAGGCCTCCAAGCGGGAGGATGCGAGGCCTCCAAGCTGCCGTTGTGGTCACAGAGTACTGAGGCCTTGCCTCCTCAGGCCTTGGGTAACTCACTTATTTACTGACCCTTCACCTCCGTGTGGACATCCCTCAGTCTCAGAGTGTTTCCACACAGCCCCACCCTTGTAACTCTTAACCTAACCCTACAAGGCAGGTTGAGTAGGGATTCCATAGGATCGGAACTCTAAGGATACGTGATATGGCCATGGCTGGAAGGCTATGTGGTCAGGGAACCAGATCCCACCCAAAGTCTCCCAACCTCAAGCCTGCCCTGCCAGGAAATTCTTCTTTTTTCCCTATACATTTTAAAATATTTTCATTAAGTAACATACGTAAAAAAGAGTTCATAGGCACATACAAACACATGTATCTTAGGGGCACCTGGGTGGCTCAGTTAGTTGAGGATCTCAGGTGATCTCAGCTCAGGTCTTGATCTCAGGGTCATGAGTTCAAGCCCCGTGTGGGGCTGCCCGCTGGGCAAGAAGCCTAATTAAAAAAGAAAAAATCAATTGCATGTATCGTAAACAATAATACACTACCACCTGCTTAAGAAAGAATGTTTCCTTGGAAACCCCATGTGTTCCCATTTTTCTCATAATAGCACACCTACTTATTTATCACGACAAAGGTACACATGCACGTATACCTGTAACATGCAAAGTGAGAAAGGCTTCTCGCTCTGGCCACTGAATGTGGAGAAG